CTAGACCCTAGGCCCGAAACGTCAGCCTTCCTGCTCGTATGATGCTGCTTGGCCTGCTGTGTTCATCCAGCTCTACACCTTGTTATCTCAAAGCAAGCAGGCACGAGTTATCTCATGATTGAGAAACCGAACCACGGCGTTTGCATAAATGCTGACTACAGTTGTTTGGTAAATGGCTCGCAACCAGACTTTGCTGAACTAGTAAGTTTTAAGGGGGAAGGTGAGGAAATTGAGTGGGGCCACTTAGGAAAGGGAATAGACAAACCCATTCAAACATTGAGCAAATAGCGCCTCTGGAACGCGAGCCTCCGATCTGATGTCATAGATAATATCACGTGGCCGTGTTGTCACGTGACTCACCATGTGATCTATCTGCCTGGCGTCGTTGCTGGGCTGAAGTTTCTGCGGCTCCTTCTTGATCTTGAAGGGAAAGTGGGAGCAGGTTGTCTCAGCAGTTCCTTTGGCTCTTGGTGACTATATTCCCCCACTGAACTTGAGAATTGACTCTGATTTTCTCTTCCTCCCCATTAAGCGATCTCACAATCCCCAAGACTGCTGAAATGCCATTTTAAATGTAACCAATAACTCCATACAAAGCCAACCTATTGCTGAAAGGACGGGGTGGTGATTGAACATTTGCGTACATCACCTTTGATGGCCCAATTCCGGGCAGCTAATTTAACTTCCAAATTTGGCTGTCATCATAAATCTTTCCGTCCCTTCGCCCCTCACGCCACAAGCCGCTTACCTACAGAAACTGGTGCCTGTATCGGTGTTGATGTATTGGGTTGTTTCTTCAATATTTTTGCTCTGCTTCTTGGTCAGTTTCTTGTTTATTTCCATCCCCTAGGCCCTTACTGGGGGAAGTTGTCTTTGACGCAAAACTCCTCTGAATCGTGTGGTGTGAGTGATGGCGGACTACTTCATGGGAAATTTCACCACCGATTGCCCGAACGGATCCTACTTTGTTTGGAAAGTACTGAAAGAGTGCACCGAGAACGGTAGAGATACGACGAGTGTTGTTCTGGGCTTGTTCTCCGTCTTTTGTTTCATGATGGCTGCTTTCCCGTAAGTATAATTTGCCCTTCATACTTAACTCTACCAGCTGAAACGCTCAGTTGGCTAGGAGCGCCTGAAAATGTATAAATGCGTAAATGTTTTCACTCAATTATATGCTTTTTCTACCGTCACCAAAAACTGCTGATTCTGCACCGCATAACCTTGAGCAAGGGACTTGTAGGAGCAGAAGGAAGCTATTCAGCCTTTTGAGTCGATTCTATGAGAGCATTTTTCCGTAGAATCCCTACAATGCGGAAACAAGCCCTGGCTGACAAATGTAAACAGGAGTGTCAGACGTTCTGTTCACTTGAGCCGGTTCTGTACTAGCTGGGTCAGTGTCATGGGCTGTGCACGTGTAAACAAAAGGTGACGGGATACCGGCCTACGTGGAGTTATTTCACTTACCAGCTCTCTTGTGAATATTTCCAAAGATTCGCTCCTCTCCCCAGAAAATCCTTCTTTCAGCCCTAAATTACCTACAGCTTGTTCTGAAGCCTTTCCTGCATCTACCTGCCGATCCCTGTAGGAACTTTGTGTTTTGAATGAGATTGTCTCTCATTCTTCAACTCCAGATAATATCCGATCTGTTAAATCTTTAATTGATTCAGCAACATTGTTCTGTGTTATGTTTAACAAAGGCCAGTGAATAGCGTATATAATCCAGTAAAAGTCGACCCCCTATTTTTGACCCAAAAATGTGGAATTTTCCATACATCTCATGTAAAAATTGACCTTAGTTCTTCACAGGTAACAGATCAACATATTATCCTGTACGTAAATGTTACGATGAAGAAATGAATTATTTCGTCCTATTGTGTTTTGAAATTGCTTCGTTTTGCGTAAAAATGCCCTCCAGAAAAAAAAAGTAAACAGCAGCATTTAAACCGAAAATTACTGAAGTTGCAGAGAAGACAGATAACTGTGTAGCAGCAAGAGAATTTTTGTTTTGGAGAAACATGAGAGACTGGAGAATGATATTGAACCAAATTTGGACAATGCTAAAACGAAAGTATGCCAACAGAGGTAAACCCAGCAAGTGGCCACAATTGGAGAAAAAAGTTGCTGAGTGGGTACTTGAAAATTGTCAAAATGGAAAATGTCTTAGTTGTGAAGTCATCCGAATCCATACACAAAATGAATCAAAGAAGGATGGAATTTCAGATTTTAAGGCAAGAGCTGGATGGTGCATAAGGGTCATGAGAAGGCATGACTTAGTACTTTGGCAGGGAAGTAAGACTGTACAAAAGCTGCCTGCTAAACTAGAATATATTATAGTAATTACTGTAATTCACTTTTTTTGTTTATTCATTTTAGAGATCAATTGGGCTTCTGCTAATTATACAGTATTTTGGAGTGTAGTGTGAATGTAAGCCCCTCAAAAGTGGTATCCATGTAATAGTTGACTCCATGAGTTTAACCTTAAAGAACAGTCTAAAAAAAGTTGACTTTTACAGGAGTATATATGGTAATCCAAATAAGGAAATAAAATACACTTGCAGCAATATGAAGTTTTGATTTGCCTGGTGACTGTTGATTTTCACCATTAGTTCCAGCACACAGCCTCATTTTGTAAATGTCTGTTATTTTCCTCCTTTGGCTCTCTAGGGTAATTGAGGATGTGAGAATAAAAAATCACATCCCAGACAATGTATTCAACCTCATCACAATTGTGCCTGATTCTGCCCTCACTTTGCTTGGATGGACTCCATGGCAATCAGAAGCAGGAATTCTTGCTCTTTTTCTTCAACTTTGCAGGACTCTGAGGTCCCAAACACCATTTTAAAAGACTGGAAAATGTGCACCTTGTGTCAGTAAAAGTGGCCACAAAGCAGCTTGAATTGTTCTAAGGATCATGGTGCTCTGAGCGTACTTGGGGGAGGTTTGCCAATTGCCATTACAATTTGCCATTGCTTACGTGGTCTGACCTCTGTGATTTTGTGGCTGGTGCCAATCTGGCTGACCTTTACTTCCTCTGCATTGGTCCAAAAAAAACCTCTGTTGTATCGGAATGGTACAGTGGTTCACAAAGGTGACCCACTTCCTCAGAACAACCAAAGATAGTTAATAAATGCCACCCTTGCCAGTGAACACATTCCAGGAATTTATTTTAAAAATACATACTGGGAACTCATTCTGGATCTTATTGGTCCATTTGGATCAGTGCCAGACACAGAAACCAAGAACATTTCAGATTCTTCGTGCAGCCAGTATGGTCTCCTACTAAGAAGTTGGGATGTCTTTGCCAAGTGTGCCCAATTTCTGCTCCCCCTAATTTGAGGTTGCTATTTGTAACGTAATTGTAATTGGTGGCACACTGTATTACAGCAGTGTTGATTTGTCTGAATGATCTCTTCCAATGCAGGAGCTGCTGATTTAGCCTGTCTCCCCCTGTTTGTGTTGTCGTGCATTCTTTTTCTTTTCACGAACATATCTAACCAATTCTCTTTTGAAAATTGACCATTCAATCTGCTTCCACCTCCTCTTCACACTGTATACTCATTGCTTGGAAAATGTCCCATTTTCAGTGATCCTTTTGCCAAATTATCTTAAACATGTGCCCTCTTGTTCCTGACACTGCTGCTCATTGAAACAGCTAAAGAGGAGAAACTATCAGAATCCTGACAAATGAAAATATTTTACGTACTCAATGAATATGAAAGAAACAATTGTTTCACTCTCTCCTACAGTGTATTTTTTATAGATGCTGGTCTACTCGGTTTCTGCATTTTATATTAGCTGTACCTAGAAGTAGTGTCAAAGGATATTAGAGATTGTCCTTGTTAATATATTTAACCAATCTGTCCAGATATATAATGACATATTTCTGAAATAGATGGGACTTGAACTTGGATATTATGGGCCAGAGGTAAGGACTCTTGCTTCACAAGAGTTTCTCCAAACTGTTCACATAGCTTGGGCAGATGTGATTTGAACTCGGTCTCTCTGAGAATAACAGGTACAGTAGGCTAAGGGCTGTTGTGGTGCAGATTCTTTACCTATGAGAATGTTGATCTGAGTTTAAATCCTACTTGCCTCAGTTATGTGAAGAGTTTGGAGAGGTTCTTGTGAAGTGGTGATATGCCCCTTCCTCTGGCCCGTGATACCTGGGTTCAAGTCCTGTCTATTTCAGAAATGTCATAATATGTCTGGACAAGATTAAATATATTAACAAATCTCTAATTTCCTTTGACTGTACTTATAGCTAATATAAAATCCAAATGCTAACCAGGCCCCGAGCCTGCCTAGCCTCTGAGATCGGGCATTTTCAGACTCATAAGGCTGTCCTTGTTAGTAAGTTTGGGGAAGGATGATCGTCTGTGAAGGGTGAAGCAAAGACTCATTCGAAGTAGTCATTTGAGGAAATGTTGTACCTGTGTTGAGGGGTAGAATGGGTGAACCTGAATGGATTATCTCGGTGTTAAAATTATTTTGGGAACATGCTTAAAACTTCCTCCCCTATATCTAGAAAGGGGTATACTCCTGTTAAGATGTGTGCTAATGTCTACAACTGTCTTTTATTAAAGTTTTGCAAAATGATTTATAACTTGTCAATTTTACTTTAGACAGTGTTACAGTTCTTATCTGAATGGAAACATGGACCAAGCTGTATCAATCTGGTTCCTGATAGGTTGGCTGGCTGGTGACTCATGCAATGCTCTTGGTGCATTCTTAGCTCAGCAATTGCCAATACAGGTGAGCAGTCTTCACATCATAAGATGCTAATGTGTGCATGGAATACTTCCAACAGCCCAGTTAAATGATCAGTTGTAAACTAGAATAATTTGAATATGACTGCAAACTTTCTGAATCACAAGACCTGTCATGTTTTACATTCTGGACTAATTTGTATTGGCTGCCTAGACGGGAACCTCTATTAAATTACCTGATTTGAGCAGTTATTATGCATTGTGAATCTGTATCATATGCATAACGATTGCTGTACCTTGTGCAATTAAATCTTTCTCTCACCTTTGGCTTGGGATTTTCCCTAGATCCTGAAAGATTACAATTTTTTAAAAACCACTTGATCCTGCTGGAGCTGGATGTGGAGAGGGGGGAAAAGAGAATAAAATTGCAGGGAGAGTCACTTGAAGGATCCAATGGTGAGTCTTTGTGTCACTCACATGATGGTAACCAGCTGGATCAATGCCACTTTTTTTTTAAATTTAAAACTTAATTCTCTGCTAACTGTTGCACAACCCACGTGAAACTGAGTTTTACAATGTAGAAGCCCAGTTGCAATTCCCATCCATCCATGCTGCACAGCAAACTTGATCAGCTACCCTCATAAGAACCAGCTTTGGAACCTGGCCAATGTGACTCAATAATTCTTTACCATTACTTTATGCACTGAGGAGTTGTTCCATTTTAAACCAGATACCAGCGCTGCCTTTATCTGGTCATGTACAAACATGCTTTAAAGAATATTTGCTGATGTTCCTGTAAGTGAAGTGAGTTCTTAACATTAGAGGTAGAACAAATATTAATGAGTTATTTGCTTTTCCAGATTTACACTGCTGTGTATTATGTTGTGGTGGATGTGATAATGGTCTCACTGTATATTTATTATGCAATAAAGAACAGGTCCAGACCAGGTGAGTGACTCTTTATTAAACTACTGTTTAATAATATTTCTTACTATTTTTGTTGTTCCCTCCCAGATTCTCCTTTTTATCTCATACTTGTCTTCCTAGGAAGTATACTTCTCATACTGCATTGGATGTAGTTGCAGTTCAGGTATAGCCAGGCATGCACATTATTTGGAATTGGCGAATCATACAAAACAAAAGGAGATGACTTGGCTGATTAGCTAGGTGGCTACACTTGTCACCCTCTCACTGGATATAGTACTAAACTTCTTTGGCTTCCACAAAATAAATAGCTATTGTTATTTGACACATTCTGTTCATTGCAACCCTTTTGGGTGTAGATTTGGATCTTGATTTCAGTTGGCAAGATTACATATGAATTAAGTAGCTTTTTTTAGTTGCTGCAGAATATTCAACTGAGAGATGAAGTGCTGTTCCTTGAGTTTCATTAAATGTGTAGGAGGCTAAGGACAGAAGGAAAAGGGAAATAGCATGTAAATGGGAAACAACTGGCAGCACAGTAAAGAACTCACCCAAACCAGCTTTGATCTCCCAGTGTGGAGGAGACTTCACTGTGATAAGTGCTCCCACAATAACCTTGGCCTCCTATATTGCTCTGGTGAAGTTCAGCAGGAGCTTGAATAACCACACCTTTCAAAGACCTGAGAGACTGTCAGTTTGTAAGTGGAGGGATGGGAATGTAGGCAATCGGAAATCAATTTCACCTGCTGGATCCAGCATTCTAACCTGCCTTTAGACAGTGGAGCTTTCCTGAGACTGATTCGTTTCTGCCAAATAAAGCACAATGGAAGTTCACCTTCAGATATGGTTGGAGAGGCAATGTGATGTCTTGATGAAAGTGAATGTTTTTGTAAAGAGGAGTGCGAAGAATAATTTGAGGTCAGTGTTGGTGGAAGTGATGCCTTATGTGATCACCCGAAAATGGATAAATCCAAATGTAATTTATTTTTTCTGAGCTTTTATTATCAACTTTTTATGGATAAAAGTGTCTAAAGTCAACCAGGATGTAACGTTTCAAATTTTCTAGGAAAATTTGCTATCGCACCCCCGTCCAAACATTAATGCACCAATGTGTATTGGGTTCAGTGTTGATTGGCAGAAGTATCTAAAATGTTATATTTGTGAGCCAAATTTGGGTCTATTGAAGTCAGCAGGGGCATAGGTGGGAACATTTACCCCCAAATCTTGTCAGGTGGGATATAATAATAAGTTTAAATCCAATTCCAATCCATTTTCTTCAGGCCTGATCTCCATTTTCAATTTCACCATGGCTGATCTGGGCCTTGGAAAAGCTCTACCAACTAAAGGAAAACTAGGATGCAGGATCCAAGCCAGTTTCCAATTACCTGCATTCCCAATCCCACCACTTCCACATGACAATCTCTCCAGTGACTGAAAGGAGTGGTTCGTCTTTGCTGTATTGAGGCTCAACAGGAGCACATGGGAGGCTGATTTTGAGACTGGGAGTCCAAAAGTGGAATGGGTGAGCCCTTTGCTGTGTTGCCTGTTGCTTTCCGTTTAAATCTGCACCCCTCTCCCTCTCTAATCGGACAATGTTTTAATGAAACTTGAGGAAAGCACTTCATTTTATTGGGTATTTTGCAACCTTGCAATCAACCTTAAGTTCTACAATATCAGATCCCAACCATTGATCCTGTTGTTCAAATTGACATCCGGTACTAGTAATGACTTCTTTGTTTCTCTACTTGTCTCCGTGCACCAACATCCCTTTATTCAGTTAATTTCTCCCACCTTTCACCCACTGACCCTATTCCCTCTTGTTCTTTCCTCCTGTCTTTCCCTGCACCCATCCCATCACTCATTTCCTGCTTATTGTTTAACACTAAGTGTCTTAACATTCTTTCAGTCCTGGAAAAAAGAATCATCAACTTGAAACTGCTTTTCTTCTTAGATGCTGTCAAACCTGCTGAGTATTTCCAGAATTCAGTTTTTATTTATACTAACCACCACTATCACTGAGCAAAGGCCTCAAATAATGTCTAAAAGTTCAAATATTTCAGATGTGCAAAGAATTCAAAGCTGTGGTTTCTTTCAGATGGAACTGTAATCAATGCCGTTGTTGCATTTGTGATGCTTGGAGCGATGGTCTCTTTGTTACCAGGAAAGCATTTGGGGTCTTCAGTTCAGGACGTACCAAAGTTTACTAGGCGTTCTCTTTTGGCTTTTTCACACGTCTCTGCTAACCAGGTCAGTTCTAACTTGACCATCACCTCCTGTACAAAAAATACCATTTACTGAATCCCTACGGGTTTTGCAATGTCCACTCCCATCCTTTAAGGTAGAGATGTCAATAATTTTGTCATCTGTAATGATTTTGTTTTGTGTATGTCAGTCCAGGCCAGCTATATATTAAATTGACTTATTCAGTCTTATTCTAAATTTTTATCTGGAAAAACTCCTATTCTCTCCCAGCTCCTTTTGTTAAATATTAAATATATGCTGAGTGTATTTTCCTCTGTTTGATTGTAGAGGGTGTCAACTTATGATAAACTGATTCAAGTAACCTGCTATTGTACCTTCCACCCTTCTGTTTTATTTTTTAGTACAACAGTAGCCCTTTGAATAATTGGTTTGGAGACTTGGTCATAACATTTCCTCCCAAACCAGCAGAATTGGTACAGTTCATTCAAATTCACAAACTTCCAGTTGCAGGAAAGAAAACTTCCTGTGCCATTCAGCAAGCATTTGTAATGTTGATTCTCATTTTTTTGTGTTGTATTAAGCTGTTAATATTTCATCAGTATTGTTCCAAAATGCAGGAATTTACTACTCAAGAAATCATCGGATTTACAATTGGCTCCTTCTCATCTGTGTTCTACCTGGCGTCGAGGTTACCACAGCTGTGCAGAAATGTGAGTGTTTATGGCTTTCAAACAGATGGTTCCATAATGCAGTATTGAAACCTTGTGGTGCACCCCAAAGCCAATGAGACTTAGTATCATAGAATTCCAACAGTATGGAAGCAGGCCGTTTGGCCCATTCCCGTCTCCACCGATCCTCCAAACAGCATCCCACCCTATCCCCGTGACCCTGCATTTCCCATGGCTAATCCATGTGGCTCGCGTGTCCCTAGTCACTATGAGCAATTTAGCACGGCTTTGGACTGGGAGAGGACATGGGGGAAAATGTGTAAACTCCACACAGACAGTCACCCGAAGCTGTGATCGAACCCGGGTTCCTGGTGCTGTGAGGCAGCAGTGCTAACCACTGAGCCACCATACTGCACTTGAAGGAGCTGAGGGAATATTTGCTGCATTGCTGTTTTGTATTTTCTCTTTTTAACGATGTAATTTTTTTTCCCCTCAGTCAAAAAGGAAGTCCACAGAAGGCATATCCCCTCTTCTCTTCAGCCTGATGATTCTGGGAAATCTGACATATGGTCTGAGTGTGCTGCTGAAAGACCCGAGGCAAGGTCAAAGCAAGGGGAATTATGTCGTACACCATCTTCCTTGGTTGATCGGTAGTTTGGGAACCATGGGATTCGACATGATTGTATCCTTTAAGACCTCCCTGGCTGATCACATCAGAATGATAGGTTGTGCAGATCATTTCAGACGTCCCATTGGTGGCAGCAGACAAATGTACCACCCAGTTCTGAATTGTGTTGTATGGTTCAGAAAGGCTGTCACTTGATGTCTGGTTTGAGTTGCTGGTATTGGTCAGATTGATAGCTTTGCTGTAGCTGGCCTGAGTGCATGCTTGGCTGGTGATTATTATTTGTGACAATCCAGTCAGTCCTTCTGAACACTGTCAATATCAACCAGTCCCGACATGTTATGATACACCTCTGGAGCTGGAGGAACTTGAACCTGACCACCTGGCCCAGATGTAGGGACAGAATCGTTGCACCACAAGCATCCTGTTCTGAGCACTATATGTTTGTGTAAATTTTTTTTCCTCTTCTTTGCGATATCAGTGTCACTGACAAGGTCAGTGTGTGTTGTCTGTCCCTAATTGCCTTTGTACTGAATGGCTGTTGGGCTATTTGAGGATAGTTCAGAGTCCACCACGTTGCTGTGGACAGGTTAGGAGTCCAGATGAGGTAAGGATGGCAGATTTCCGTCCCTTAAGGATATTAATGGGTTTTTAAACCAGTCAAAAATATCATTATCACCATTACTGAGACTAGCTTCCAGTCTGGGTCGCCCTCCACCAGCTGCAATGTACAATTTGAACCCAGGGTGCGAGCCTAGGATCTGGATTTTTATCCCAGTGACCTGACCACTACATCATCATCATTTCCCCCTTGTATCTAAAGCTTACAAAACTTAAATTGCCTGTCTCAATCTTGATTCAGATATGAAGAATGAACATGAGCATAGAACAGAAGAGTGACTTGCTCATTAAACCAAACTGTAGAAAGTGCATTGTATGCAGTGGGGTAGGATGCATCTGGAAATGAAATAAACAGTAAATGTGTCTTTCTACACACCCTTGACCTAACGTCTTCACTTTGACCTTTGGCTCTATCAAGTGTAATATTGGAACATTCAGCTGAGGGGAGCATGAGACAGTGAAATGTTCTATACTGTTATCATTGGACATTGACAGTGTTTGCTTAAAAAAAATTATCAATAGCTGCCTTATTTCTGGGGAATCTGTCAAGGATGTTACACGTACAGCAAATTACCTTGAAATTCAGGGGAGAGTTTGGTCAGAAACCACGGCAGATATCTTGTGAATGAGACTCAAAAAAACAGTGAGCCTTGATGTAAATGACCAGGTGGTGCATGATGGGTTTTTATGGTGGGTGGGTATGTGTGAGGGAAAACCAGGAAAGGAGAGAAATGGTTGGCCATAAACTAGCAAACTAATGAGCTATTTGCATGGCTAGTCAGGAAGGAATTGTCTTGTGGGCAAAATGGAGGAGCAGGAGTTGGAGTTTGTTTCGAAATGTATTGGATTAGGCTAGAGGGAAGTTTACTGTGAATCCCAGTCTGGTTGTACCTAACCTGGGGTTGCTCGATGATATGTTTCCTTTTATCTATGAATACGACTCAATTTGAGCATACTTTTAAGAAAAACAGTTTGCTTGTCCTTAACTTTTTTAAAAAATCTGCAGATTTTGTTTCAATTCTTCATCTATCAAGAACGGGAATTTGAAGAAAGAAGACCATTGATTTAATTCAAGTGGACATTGAACTCTTTAGCAGTGAGGCAGTGCTTTCCAGTAACTGTGACCACCGTCTACGGGAAAGCCTGTTTTTGTTTGGTTTTTTTTTTTTTTTGAAAACAATTTTGAAGCTAGACCTACCCAGGCCTTTACTGGATTTCAAGCTGTTATTATAAGGAAATTATTTGGAAAAACTCTCCAACTTTAAATCACCACCAGAGAGAGAACTCACCTGTAAGAGCAATTCTTTTTGTGCATCATTACATTGCTACTGTGACTGAAGATAAATGTTCAGTGCCTAATATTTAGACCTCAGAAATCAATCAACACACAAAGCCATTGCCAAGGATGAAGTAGGTGCCAAATGCATCTAATCAAACCATCTCACTCCTTCACTCTGGACCAGTGGTTTTGAATTGGCTTTGACTGCACAACTACACCAGGTCATTCCTTACTTCTCATGTGTGAGGAAGGCCGTTGTCGATCCATCGGGGGCAAGCTGCTGCTATACTAATCCAATCTGTAATGTGAATGTGTGGTTCTTAGGAGTAACTGGAAATCTCCCATCCTACTTCAAACAATGTTACATCCAAAATGAATGCAATTATTATCTATTGCAATCCAGTAAAACCATAGCAACTCTGGATAGCAAAAGGAACTTAACAATCTTCATTACTGCTAGATGCAGTCTAGATTTTAGAATTTTATTGAATCCAGAATACTAAATATAAAAGGCCACAACACACAAGAAGTGGTTTCAATCTGAAGGTATATTGCTGTCTGATATTATACTCAACCTTTCTGATTTGATTCCAGACCTGTACTGACTTCGCTACGGCATTCCCAGGATGAGGAGGAAATCAACCACATCCCTGATTGTTATCCAATAACTCTAACGGATAAGTGTCTGTCTACATTGAGTATGAGCACATTGGTTGGTGGATAATCTGGTGCTTGCTGGCCAGGATCCCAATTGGAAATGCCCACTTGAACAAGGCTGCAATAAGTGCAGAATTGTATCCCAGCAAGGAGTAGATGTCCTGGAGGGGGTAGGGAGAAGTGGGAACCCAAGCTGCTGGGGCTTGATTTTTTTAGACCTCCAGTGGAGTCAGGTTCAGAGGAGATCTGGAGCTAAAAGCTGAGGTGTAGCTCATGTGCTGGTTCTTCAGGCTGTATCTCACACCCAGGTAGGATGGGGTCTGATCTAGCCTGTTAATAGTTACCCAATCAAAGGAGGTCAGCTAGGATTTTTCAGCCAGTCTTCGGGAGGCAGGAGCCAGCAAAGTTGCTGGTTGCAGACTGGGTGAGTAGCACTCCAATCTGGTTTAGAGGTTTGGTGTGCATGAACGAGAACAGTCACAGTTCATCCTATAGAGGTGGCCTGGCTGTAAAAGCCATTTCTTTAAACTTTAGCCTTGACCTCATTTGGATGGTGAATCCACTGTCTTGTCACTGTCACGGTGGAGAAAATCACGATGAATGTGCACTTTCCTCATGGTGCCGGCTTTGACTCTAACAGTGCGATTCAAAGGCCTTCACTAACTCCGTGCACTAGGCTGCTTGTAATTACAGCTATGGTTTAAAATGGTGTGAACTGGAACTGAAATACATGACTGTAAATGTCATACATAACAATCAGGTCATTGAGATTTTATTCTTAAATTTGAGGGATGTGGTTGGAATTTTTAAAAAATTTACCAGGATTCTGGAATTTTGATTTCAATCATCAGGGTCCATTCAGAATGTGAAAGATTTTTGTCTCCCGAAGGCTTAGGGAGCAGCAAAGCTTAATTACGCCAAAGGATTTAAATTTTAATGTGTTACTGATTTAATCAGTATTCCTTTGACAGAATCCAGCTCCTAAACTGCAAATTCCCTGTCTTAAGCTTACTTTTACTTGCTGCATCCTCCCTGTATCGAAATCAAGATTCAAAGAATTATCTGTTCGTAACCTAGTTTTTAGTCCGAACTGTCACTTCCTTTAGTTTTCCTTTCCTCCTACATTTGGGCAAACTTTAAAGAGAAACAGAAATCCGACATGGTCTTCTTTTGAACTTTTCTCTCTTGCCCTTTTAGAATGCTCTCTTTCCATCTTGTCACTTGTTTACTCAATTAAAAATGATTTTGCACAGTACATAGTATTATCCCCCTTAACCTGTGTGTGTGTGGGCCAAAGGTATATCCTCATTGTTCATCACTTTGCACATTACATAGACAAATTATGTAGAAGTTTACTTGGTTTCTCATTCTGTCCAAAGGTTCAACAAAACATTTTATTTCAAGTTGCTATATTTTTTTAAAAACGGCTTCTAGGTTTTATCCACTCTATAATTGTTTGCCATTGAGAATGACTTGTGCACACTTTAATCAAAAAGCATATCCAATCTTCTACCTGGTTGAGTTGCGTAGCCAGCAGTTGGCTGCACTCACTGCCTTTCTCCTGGGTCTGCACGAATTGAAAGAAATTTTCTATGACCACCAGTTATTAAATAATTTGAAATTGGGATCTGATTGGCAAATAATTCCTTGATTTAATCTTAAAAGGAGAAAAGGGATTGATTGGTGAATGTCTTTAACCATTGGCAGTGTTTAGCACTGGCAGGCTGAGCCTGTCCATTAAATGCAAATGGTGGCAGCTTCATTATAATGCCAGAACCTGAAGCTTCAGTCTTTGCTTTTGGTTTAGAAAGTTTTCTTTAAAACACAGATCTGTACTGTTACCTAGTTTGCATTGTGTGGTTGGTCCGTTCCCCTGGGGTGCTCTGTCACCAAGGTCTTGCTAATGTCCTGACTGAAATGTGCATGGTGCTATTCTGGCTGCACATGTTTGCTGGCAATGAAGTTTTACCACTAGTTTACTGGCATTATTTTTAGAAATGCAACAGATTGCACTAAAAGACTAAGCATATCTTTTAAATTAGAAAAACAGAAGCCCAATTTCTCGAACAGTCTCGGGGAAGTGAGAGGTCCTGAACAACTATTTAAAATGGTTTGATTCATAATTAATCTCTATGTCAGTTCTGAATTGATTCCACATTCTTTAATTCCTTGCATAACACAGTCTTGTCAATCTTTGGGCTTGATTTGTCAGTCGACGTCACTTATTCAATGCAGCTTACCAGCTTTTTCTTTGATGGTGGGTTCGGTGGGAGGGAACTGGTGGTTGTAGAATGTAAGTTCCAGGTTTACACTGATGTGTTTACGGTAAGAACTCTCCCCAAGTATCTTACAAACCATGCAACCACTTGAGGGGGTTGCTTAAGACTAGAATTTAGGCCCAAGATGAACTCTTATAAATAACATCAGGTAAATTCTATGAAGTGTTACAACCAAAGGGCATTTTCTTGCAGTTAGGGATTTAAGCTGAAATCAGAGTGTCAGCAACAGGCCTTTAGAGCATGGGAGTCATTAGAACTATAAATGAGTTTGGTTTTACGATTGAGTGATGTGTAGGTTCTGGCCAAAAGGATTTGTTGACTTATACACAATTCAGAGGACAGAATATTGTAGAAATGCACAGCAGATCTTTCAGTTCCGGAAAAGGGAAGGCAGGTTAATGTTATTGAGGAGACCCACTGGGAGTTCCCACTTTGGATATTCACCTCACTTGGATCATGATTTTGTTTCCAGAACAATGCTGAGAATCAGCTGTGATACATTTGCTGTAGGAATCAGCCCTTGTCACTTTAGCAGTCAGTCCTTGCATGTTCAAATTACCCGATGTGTCTTGGCTGTCTGATTTGCAGGGATTTTCATTTTTCAAGTAAATGGTGCTAAGACAACTTGTAAATCACCAAATTGTAGGGTAACTGTTTCATCATTCATTATGCATTACATTTTTTAATCTTATGATGAGACACTGTTAATCTATGATTTAGATTTTTATTTTCACAGTACGTTTAAGATTCTTTTGAACTATTTGTTTCTCTTCCAGTTGAAATAGTATTCAAGATTACTATAATATAGATGCTGTTTTATATTTGATGTATACTAAAACAATTTCTGGGTTTATGTTCCTTTTTGTTCAGCCTTGATATATTTGGGTTTTGTTTCTTCCTGAATATTCTTGTTTTAAATAGGATTGGCTCAGCAACATTCAGTCAAGATAAAACACATTATTTGCAATCTGGAAAACATTTTTGATGGAGCAGATAAAATATTTATACTACCAATTGCTAAATGCTTTTAAAGGGGGGAAAAGGAAGCAGTCTGGCCATATATGTGATAGTGGGAGCTCTTCATAGAATCATGCAGCAAAGCAGGAAGTTTTCAGCCCATCACGCAATGCCAGTTCTTAGAGGATGTCATCCAATTGTGCTTTTTTTTTTGGTCCCTTCCCACCCAATAATCATGAAATGTTTTCAATTTCTAATTCTGTTTTGAAAATTACAATTTAATCTGTTTTCACCAATTTTCAAGGCATTCTAGATCATCCTAACTTCCCAGGGATCCGTACATGAAGGGGATTTCTATCTGCTTCATTTGCCAATTCCCTTTTATATCTGTGTGCTGGTGGAGATTGACTCTCCCAGCTGGCTGGGGTGATACTGTTTCCACTACCAAAATCTTTTCAATTTTGAGCATTACTCAATTTCCCCTTAACCTTTTCTGCTCTAAGAACAAGCTGCACTTTTCCAGTCTCTCCAAATGACACAGCCCACTTCTTCAGCACCCTTGGCATCCTTCAAAGTGTGGTGACTGGAACTAAATGCACTATTTCAGCAAAGGCCTAGTCAGTAAACTTTATATCAAACCTAATAGGCTGAATTTCTGCTTTGCCCAGTAGGTGACACTGTGGTCACATTGATAAGTTGTGTCCAGATTGCAAGTTTGTTTCTTACACCAGTTGAAAAATGACAATCATTTATCTGCGGGAGGATTAAGTACGGTGACTGCTCTAGCTTTTTAGATGTTTAATTATAAATGTAACAGATTATGATAATATGCCCTAACTTCCTTGCTGTTGTATTTGCCCTATTTTTTCAAAACCAGTGACTCCATGCACTTTATTGGCAACCTTTTCTTGGAGAGAGTCGATTCAGCTGAATGAAGGTTCAGTCTACATCAATGCAGTACAGAAAAGGAAGCACTTTCTGCACATATAGGTGATTTGATTGCACTGACCCCTGCAGTACTGGTCAGGATTAGCCTGCATTCATGAGGTTTTAGCCATTCTTAGAAGAATTCAATGTGTTTCCAATTAATGGTCTTACAGATTTTTAAAATGCAATTTAATTTCTTATTATTGGTGTAATCCATACAAACTTATAAATTTATTAAACAAATTCCTCTGTTGACATTTGTGTAATAGATTGTTATTTTGTTTGAAAATTATTTTTAAAATCTTTTTTGTCTTATTATCACAACATTAACTGTTGAAGTGAAATGAGTTTTTTGTGTGCAGCAATGTATTAAATGGGACTGAATGACTTTATTCTTGTGCTGTGGTCGTGTGTCAAGCACATTGCAAAAATGGAAACTGTTGTATTCCTTTTTCTCTTGTATCTCAAACTCTGAATCCCTGGTTGTTCTCCTGGCAGTGTAGTATTATACTGAGCTGTACAGGAAAGGACAAACACAGAAAACAGGAGCAAGATTAGGCCATTCAGCTCTTCATACCTGCTCTGCTATTCGGGATGATCATGGCTGATCATCCCTATTCTTGTTTTCTCCCCCACACCCTTTTGGTCCCTTTTGCCTTTAGAACTATATCTTACTCCTCCTCAAAAACATTCAACATTTTGGCCTCCACTAATTTCTGTGGCAGAGAATTCTACAGGCTCACCGCTCTGGATGAGGATACTTTTTCTGCAACTCAGTCGTAACTGGCCTTCTCCATATTCCCTGGTTCTGAAAACAAACTCGGAACCGATCTCTGGCTAATTAGTTGAGGTTTTGAATAAAAGATGTGGTCAGGGTGGGGTACAAGTGCATTATATTTTCATTCGTGAACAGCTACTTTTGGGGGGATACAAATGATACATTTCACTACAGGTAAGTGATTCTAATAAAAGGAATAATGAGGTCACGTATCTTGGAAAATAAATTTAGATATTTTAAGGAATTAATCTCAAGTACAGATTCATTATGAATCATTATAAAAAGTTAGCAAGATCGTTCTTAAAAGATGTAAATAAAAAGCATTTGAGGTTCCCTGTTCTGAAGGAATGGAATTGAAAAGTGGCGAAGTTCGCAGTGTATTTGAACCTCAGTAAGACTGCACTTACGCAGTAAGTTAAATACTTATGATGTTTCCATATCACACGGAAAGAATTTTGAGGCACTAATTGTTTTGTGGTGATATACAGCTGGAAATGGAAGAAAATGACTCTTTGAATGTGGAGGCTGTTGGGGTGGTAGGTGAGGACATGGGTGTGGGGGGGGGTGGTGGTGGTGGTGGGGGAGGTGTGATCCCTATAGTAGGTGAGGGCAGAAATGTAGGGAATGGGTTGGACACAGTTGGAGGGTGGGAATCTTCAGTTGGCAAAAGGAAAGCATTGGCAGGAGGCCATTAGAAGGTGGCATCATCAAACCAGATGTGACAGACTCCATCCCATTCTCTGCTTCTCCCTAACTAGGAAGTGGGGTATGTAGTCGAGGAAGCTATGGGGGTTGTGAGCTTATAATAAATATGTGGGCAGCTTATTCCTGGAAATGGAGTGAGAGCTGTCAAGAAAAGGAAGAGAAGAGTCTGAAATGGACAATGTGAAAGTGAGAGAAAGGTAGAAATTGGATATAAAATTGATGCAGTTATCCAGCTCTGGGTGAGTGCAGGAAGTAGTGCTCTCATCGGTGTCTCTGAGGAAGAGTTGAGGCAGAGGGGTCTGATTAAAACGATGTCCCGCAACCCCCATGAAAAGGTAGGCATAACTGGGAACCATTACAATGCCTTGTATGTAGGGAAAGTGAGACAAATTTAAAGAAACTGTTCAATGAGTGGGGGGAAGAAATATCCAGCCAGGGTGGAGGAAGGTGATGGCATGGAAACTGTTTGTTTGAGTCTGTTCTAGCAAGGAGAGGAGAGCCCTTAGACCATCTTGGTCTGGGACAGAGGTGTAGAGGGATTAGACTTCCATCATTTGGAGGTGGTTAAGAAATTGAAAATTGTTGTGTAAGAAGAGGCTGGATAAAAGCTGGAGAGCAAAACAGAATCAAGATAGCAAGAAATAATGGGTCTGCTAGAGCAGTTCTATTTGTGAATTTTTGGAAGAAAGTAGGTGGAACCAGTGTGAGGTTGAGGGCCGAGGGGTTAGAAAGCTCTCCAGAGGAGGAGTTCTGTGACAGCCTTGGAAAGAAGGGTCTGATGTTCAGTGATGGGATTATGGTCCAGGAAGAAGTGTTTGAGAGTTGGCACTCAGTCTCTGCCTGGTAGAGGGTGGCATGTCAATGGCACTGCTCATGGTGGGCTTGATAACAAGGTCAGAGTTAGACCTGAGAGAACAGAGTGTGACATGTTCGAAGAAAGATAGGGTAGAGTGGCTGAGGGAAATTGAGGTGGCCAATGTCATGTTTAGACTTGGGTTTTGTTATTACGTGTACTCCAGTACAAGAGTGCTGCGCTATGCTTGAAATTCATTGAGGTGAGGCCATAAGTGGATAAAACTGAATTCTCTAATTCTTTGCTGGACAGAAATTGTTCATTGTCACTGATCAGAAGGTCAGAGGGTGAGCAGTGGGATTAGAAGAAAAGATGGGGTCAAAGAGAACTGGGTGGGCGGGAGGACCAGGGCAGGGGCAGGGGCAGGGGGATGGGGGCGGGGGGAATGTTTAGTCTTCATAAATTGCTGGAGTTTGGGTTCATTAACACCCGACAAACGTTATTTTTAAGTAAGTTTTTTTTTGAAAAGATTTCTTAGTTCTTTTATCTACTGGAGATGATTTAAAAGCTTCAACTGGGTTTGTTAATCCAGGAGATAGGAGATAGCCAGGCATAGAATCTGATTAGCTCCAAGTTATGGAAACACTGTTGATCTCCCAGGATTAAAATGTGTGTGAAAGAAGCTGAGATGGAGTAATGAGGATGACAGAATGTGTGCCTTCTGGCAATTTCAGATCATCTTTCCAAGTAAGCCAGTCTCAAAACTGGGAGATGTTAGTCACAAAGAGTTAGCATGAAACTCAATTTGATGTAGCAGACAACTCCCATGTGACCATTTTGAGTATTCACAAATCTCATTATCTTCCTGAAGTGCCAGCCTAAAGGCAATGAAACTAATTTAGAAGTTCCCCAATATGTTTAATTAGCTTTACTACGTGTGGCTGTGGTTCATTTGATGAAGACATGATATGGATTCAATCTCGACCCAATTCAGCAACAGATTGTCAGAGGAAAAAAGGTTGAGTTTAAGAATCGAGCACAAAATTGATTTATTTGAATTGATGAGGCAAAAAAGATTAATGATCAATCCTTGTAATCCAGTAATAAGCAGGGTATTGCCTTCATTCCTGGATTAAGTTTATTTTGTGTTGTTCTCTCACTGTCCTGTATATATTACATTTATAACCTATAATCGTTTTATAGAAAACTGGGTGAAAATTTGGGCCTCCTTCCAATTTGCATCCTATTCTGGGAACTATTTTCTTTTGTACTCCACAAGAACAGTTCTGTTGCCAGAACCAGATGCCTTCCTACAATCCCAGAGCCTCAACGGAAATCACCTAAACCCCATCATGGAGCTGCCCTGAGCTCACCCAGAAAATATAAAACAAAGAACTTTGGATACTGGAGAAACTCAACACTTCTGCCAGCATCTGTGGAAAGACAGGGGAACAGAGTTAAGGTTGATTGAGTCCAGTGCCTAATCAGAAATGTTCTGAAGAAAGAATTTGAACCCAGGTGCCCTGGCTCAAAGGTAGGGTCACTACCACTGCACTATAAGTGGCCCTTATGCTATATTTTATCACAACAACAGTAACCTGTTCCCCATTGTGAGTTACTTTTAGTGTGATCGCTGTAAGTCATATATATCTTAAAGATTGAGAGTTTGATTAAACAGGAATTGTTCCTGAAAGGATTAACTGTTAGTTAACCACTGGTAGTTAAGGAAATAGACCATGTGGTGTAGTAATGAGCCACACGTACAGAGTTTGGGCACAGGCTGTGAATGTAGTTTGGGGGAATAGTGATGGCATGTTGGGTTGGGGACATTTGGTGCAAATCCTAAACTCCACAGTGAAAGGATGGGGTAGATGAGCCCAAAACACAGGGGGGACTGTTTCAAAATTAGGGCTGGCTTTTTAGGACTGAGATGGAGGCTGGGATGTATAGGATGGGCTGAAGGGCTAAAAGGTGAATATTTGACAGTTGCAATGAGAAAATAGATTGTACAGGATGGGAGAATAGGCTGGGAAAGTTAATGATGATACTCGACAAGCTGCATAACCTTGAATGAGTCCTGTGAACATCCCTTTACAGGCCAAAGATAACACCTGCAGCTTGATTCTCTGTAGCTGTGTGTTTTCTGTACCAGCCAGCAGTTTTGTCTTCTGTATCTGCTTTCTTTCTGCTGGCTATTTGTCACACTGTATGAGGGAGAGAGAGTTTCATTCCAAGTTTCTGGACTTGTCCTCGGACCGGAATTGTGAATGGTACAAGGAATGAACCTAAGCCTCCAGACCAGCCGTCGATCAAGGGGTCCCAGATGGGCAGAAGGGCGTGAGACTTGTTGCTTCTTTTCTGTTCTATTTACTATTACCACTTTAAATCATTACTTAATAAACATTCATATTTAGGCAAATTGCTGTTGTTGAGTCTTCTCTTAATTATAGCGGTTCTTTTAGATACATGCTGTGAACCAAGATATTTTTGGCAACAAGGATGGGATTTGGGAAAATATTTAAGCGACTGGAAAGGCAACCTGATGCTCCAGAGATCTTCTGTATTCTGGCAGGCTTTGGATTTGGGTCCGTAGCTAACTTGTTAGCACAATTAGGACCCCTGCAAGGATGGGGGACGGTTGTAACCGGAAAAAGAGAGAAAGGAGGATTTATTCATACAGGCTGTTGTACATGAGTGCTTGCAGGAAGCAGGCCTCCCCAACTGCAAGGGCAGTGTACCGCAAATGGGATGGATACTGTTAACAGCTTTGTGTTCTACATGTAGAGAACTAGAGGAGGGCCAGGCCAAAAACAGGCAACTTGAGGCCACGTTGACAGTGGTAGAACAGCATAACCTTATCCTAACAGAAGCAATTAAGAAAGGGCAGGAGAGGGCTGAGAAGGCAGAGGAGAAACAGAACCAGATAGTTTGCCATCTGGCAACAGTACAACAGAAAAAGAGAGCAAAACTGCACAATTGGAAAGCTGACCCAGTTAAAGTACGCATGTTATTAACATCGCAATATGACCCTGACCATTGGGATGGGGGCATTTAGTATTCATCTGATTCAGAGTATGAATGGACAGACAGGAAACGGGATGGTCCATCTCTGGAGCCATCCTCTGGAAAGGAACTCATAGCGCGAACCCTAATAACAAATAAGGCAGAATAGGTACAAGGACAAAATTCACAAAATGTGATGTGGTCTGGGCTGGATGAGAGGTGCCAATGTTAGCCCTATTAGGGCCAACCCAGGGACAGGTAGTGAGACAGGTATGTTTGTTGTTAGGACAGTTAGAGGATGTGGAGGCTGGTAAGCGAAGAGTGAGGCCTACCTGAGCAAATGGTAAACGGGGAGAACAAGGTGGAGATGGGGTGGGTTTGAAGGTGAAACAAAAGAAAACCAGAAGGGAAATGTTCGCAGTGTTATTAAAAGCAGGAATAGAATGGACTAAGATAGACGGAATACCTACAGATTCCATGTACAATATATAGAGAATGCACTGCTCTCCAAAGGGTAAGGAAGTAAGAGAGACCAAATACAATGTGGAGGGAGGAAAGGAAACCACAACATCACTATCCCCAGCCTGGAGGAGGTCAGGCAGTTGTAGTGAGCCAGTCAGCCCATTGATGAGGGGTGGGGCTGGGAGTCTGGAGTCTGTGTAAGGGCACTTGGTGGGACAACCAGAGACCCGAGGTCTCGTGTCCCTATCACTGTTTACTGGAGGAAAGGCGATGTACAATAAGACATCACATTATTAGACACATGGGCAGAAGTTACTGTGTTTAAGCCCTGCACACAGACGATTATCCATGGTGAAGGAGATGGGGGAATCAAGCTGAACTGGCAGCTGTGGTCCTAGTCCTGGAAGAAGAGAGTCAGCGTCTGTGTATTTATACTGACTCATGGGCAGTGGCCAACAGAATGACTGTATGAATGCTGATCACAGCAATACTGTGGATGGAATAGTAACAGCCAAAACAGTTGAACATGCATCTGAAGAGTACCATGCTGGAAAATGGGCTCGTGAAAAATCAGGGCACTTAGGGTATCATGGCACTGTGCAATGGGCAAGAGATCGAGGTTTGCACTTACCAGCCAATCTGGTGAAAGAAGTTATCCGCAAGTGTGAGATATGTCAAAAGGCAAAACACGCCTTACTGCCAACAAAGCCAATGGCACAAATCAAGCAAAGAGACCAGCTTGCTCAAATCTGGCAGATTGACTATGTTGGCCCATTACTGTAACAACAACGATATCAACATCTGCTAACAATGGTGGACACCTGCTCTGGGCTAATGCTGGCTTTCCCAACAGCCAAAGCAAATCAGAGTAACACTGTTAAGGGCGTAGAACAGCTGATATCATGCTATAGTGAACCATCAGAAATACAATCGGATAATGGCTCACACTTTGCAGGCCAACGGTTGCAGCAATGAGCTGCAGATAATGGGATATATTGGATGTTTCACATTCCCTTTGACCCTCAAGCAGCTGGCCTTGTAGAATGAATGAATGGGTTATTAAAACAGCAAATTAGATTATCCACCCGTAACCGTACTTTACAGGGGTGGCTCAAAGTGCTGCCACAGGCATTGTATAATCTGAACAAACAGCCTCTGAAAGGAGGGACACCCCAGAGTAGAATGTTTCAAGGGGGTGGCCAGTTACATCCTCCTAATAAACCTACAACGTTCAGCGACCTTTGTTCCGGGGGAAATGTGTGGGTACACCACCCACAGCACCCACCTAAGCCTGGTGAGATACTTGCCCATGGACAAGGTGGTACCTATTGGATATAAATAACAGGGCAGGAAGCACCAGAGTGTATAGACAGAGGGAAATGAACAAAAAGAGAGTGAGTTGTCAGATTGTAAACTGATAAGATATGATTTCTTCACAGAACCAAGCGAATTTATTATGGATGCTGCTGTGGATGATTCATCAGTTGACAGCTGCTGTACCTAATCTCACAAAAAAGACAGTAATTTGATGATACATTGTTATATTATTCATATTGGAGGTTATTTTTATTATCGTTTTAATTTTCTGGTGTAGGTTACGCCCTCTTATTATACGTTCTCATGTGGCTATCACTGATTTGCGTCTGCATTTGCAATTGTAACATGTGCTGTCAAATATCATCAGGGGTGGATTGTATAGGATGGGCCGAAGGGCTAAAAGGTAATGATAGTATTTGACAGTTGCAATGAGAAAATAGATTGTACAGGATGGGAGAATAGGCTGGGAAAGTTAATGATGATACTCGACAAGCTGCATAACCTTGAATGAGTCCTGTGAACATCCCTTTACAGGCCAAACATAACACCTGCAGCTTGGTTCTCTGTAGCTGTGTGTTTTCTGTACCAGCCAGCAGTTTTGTCTTCTGTATCTGCTTTCTTTCTGCTGGCTATTTGTCACACTGTATGAGGGAGAGAGAGTTTCATTCCAAGTTTCTGGACTTGTCCTCGGACCGGAATTGTGAATGGTGCGAGGAATGAACCTAAGCCTCCAGACCAGCCGTCGATCAAGGGGTCCCAGATGGGCAGAAGGGCGCGAGACTTGTTGCTTTTTCTCTTTTCTTTTCTTTTTATTATTACCACTATAATAGAACATAGAAGAACGTAGAACAGTACAACACAGTACAGGCCCTTCAGCCCACGATGTTGTGCTGAACTTTTACCCTAATCATAAGGTCTATCTAACCTCCACTCCTACCTTATACTATCATCCATATGCCTATCTAAGAGCCGCTTAAATGCCCCTAATGAGGCCGACTCCACTACCCTCTCCGGCAATGCATTCCACGCCCCGACCACTAATCATTATTATTACTTAATAAACATTCATATTTAAGCAAATTGCTGTGGTTGAGTCTTTTCTTAATTATATTTAACTGAATCCAAAATAACCACTTGGGTGCTACACGCTGTGGGGAGATGGGGAGAAGATATTTTTTCTGAGAGTTGTGCGATTTTGGAACTGTCTGCCTCAGACGACGGAGGAGGTGGCACAATTGAATGTTTTAAGGGCAATAGATTTTAATTAGCAAGGGTCTGAAGGGTTATCAGAGAGAGATGGGAATGTGGAATTCTGAACAGATCAGCCGTGATCTTATTGAAAGCCGGAATAAGAGGGGCTGAGTGGTCTACTTCTGCTTGTACTTTGTACGTTATTAATTGGCCTGAGAACTGTCACATAGAATCAGTCAGGCTAGCCATCAAAATTTCAGGAGACTGAGGGAAAACAGAGGGGGTCCACCCTGAACAAAACATCTAGCATTGAACCCATCTGTTTATTTGGCCTGTCAATTACTGAGGTTTAAAAACAAGAAGTGCATGTGAATTGCTGAGATAGCAAGAACTGCAGATGCAGGAGTCAGAGTTAATACAGTGTGATGCTGCCCGACCTGCTGTGTTCCTCCAGCTCCACACTGTATTGACTCTGACTCCAGCATCTGCAGTTCTTGCTATCTCCGAGTGACTGAAAACCCTACTGTGAAGCCTCTTCCAAGGATGCCCACCTTGAGGAAGTTGCCCTACTCTCCAGAATCCTCTGATGCTCCCTGACCTGCTGTGTTCCTCCAGCTCCACACTGTATTGGCTGTGAATTGCTGAGGCTTGTTTAGCTGTAACCCCTCATAGAACACCTGAATGTTGCTGTGCAAGTGCAGACTATCCGAATGAAATGGAGGTGAAAATGAAGTTAAAAAAGCTCCAGGACTGCTTCAGAGATTACGGCTGATCAGGTCAGAACAACACTCCTCAAAGGGGCTCGTCAATAGTGTTAGAGATAGTATGCTGAGGTTTCCAAAAGTAGTCTGGAAAGTTGCCAGATTCTTTCTAAATGTAAACTAAGACCAACTCTTGTGCGGTCTGTTCTTGGAGGTTGTTAGTTTTAATCTCTAACCATCTGAAAATACACCAATCCATTTTATCAACATGAGAAGTTTCTCTCTGGGAGCCAGGTCACTTAATGTTGGTACAAACTGTGGCCCATTTTAAACAAGCTCCGCTCATGGGCACTGCAAAGAGGCTTCAGTTTCTTGTTTGTGAAATTTAAGGAAACTAAGAACATTTGTTTAAAGAGCAGCTGGGACATGCCCAGGCTGAATTTAATTTTCTAGGAGAGCGATCAAGGAATGTAATAGGTTTTAAACAATAAAGAAAGTTCTTACAGCAGCGGTTCCACTGGTTGGGTTTGCAAATTGGAACTTTGATACAATGAGTCTCGTTCAATGGGACATAACAGGATCCCTGTTTAGTGAAATAACCTCCCCCGGTTCAGGTAGAGAAACCAGGATAAGAAAATAGGTTGAATATTTCACTTATGTTACAAAATCCTGCTTTGTGACAGACTGTTCTCTGAAGGGGAGTTCAGCTGTTTTCTTAGGGCAGTTCTAATGGATGGTTATCAAGGTCATTGCTTCCACGAGAGTTTATCTGATATTTTCTCTGGTATTGTGAGCTGTAAAAACATTATACATTCAGCTCTGTCACCTAAAGCTCTGCCTGTAACCCAGCTCTCTCCTTTTGCGGTGGTTCCTTTAAACTCAAACATGACCAACCCTTGGTCAGCTGGCCTAATGTGTCTCCTGTCTTCCCTCCATGTTATTTTGTAGCTGATTAAATTTCTACGCATCACAATATTATTTCAAAGGCATGTTGTTGTCGAACAGTTTTCATTCTTGGGGATTTAGGCTGTGGACTATACTTGGTTACACCCTGTTAACTGATTATAGCTTTGAGAAGAGAATAAACCACAAAAAGCAAGTTGACATTTAAACAGGAACCACTGGAAAACCGGGCCATTGAAATAGGTAGTCAAATTGGGTTCAAAGATAACCAGAGAAAGACAGAAAGGATTGAGATAAAGACAGAGAGTGCAAGATTTATATTTAGACACTAACCTGGAAACCTCACCCACAATGGTTCTGGCTGCGAGCACGAAAGAAATGAAACACAATCATCACCCAGTGTTAGTATCCTGTGCTTTCCTCACCCCTCACCCTCTCTTGCCAGACCCAAAATGAGAGTGGAAGCCCCAAAAGCTCAGTCTACAAAATGGTTAGTACAGTATTACTAACTTTGATTTGATTTAATTTATTATTGTCACACATATCTGGGTACAATGAAAAGTTTGCTCTGCATGCATTGCAGGCAGATCATACCATACAAAGTGCATATGAGTAATACAAGAGAGTGTGGAATACAATGTTACAGCTGCAGAGAAGGTGAACAAATAACGAGATCAACATTACATTTAAGATTTGATAGGTCCATTCAGAAGTCTAATTACAGGAGGGAAGAAGCTGTTCTTGAGTGTGTTGGTTTGTTGTTTAAGCTTTTGTATCTTTTTTTTTAAAAATCACTCATGGGATGTGGGTGTTGTTGGCTAGGCCAGCATTTCATACCCATCCCAATTGTAAAGAGTCAACCACATTGCTGTGGCTCTGGAGTCACAATGGAGGCCAGACCACATAAGGATGGCCATTTCCTTCCTTGAAGGGCATTAGTAAACCAGATGAGTTTTTCCAACAATTGACAATGGATTCATGGTCATTATTAGAGAACAAAATAAACCACAAACAAGAACCACTCACCAATTCAAATTCCACCATCTGCTGTGGCAGGATTTGAACCTGGGTTCCCAGAACACTATCTGGGTCTCTGGATTAATATGTCTAGCAATAAGATCACTCAGCCATCACCTCCCTACCATGGTAGACAAGCAGGAGGCTGGAAGAACACAGCAAGCCAGGCAGCATCTGGAGGAAAGGAACAGTCAATGTTTTGGGTATTACCCTTCTTCAGGACTGGAAGTGAGGGTAGGGGAAGCTGCAGATAAAGTGGGGGTGGAGGCAGAATGATGGTGATAGGTGGACACTGGTAGTGGGTATGACCTGGTTGGTTGATGGGATGGATGAATCTGGTTGGTGGCTGGAAGGGAGGGTCAGAAGGTGGAATGTACGGGAGGAATTGGGGCTGGAAAAGGAACCGGGGGATGGGTGGGAAGGTTAGTTGAAATTGGAGAACTTAATGTTGAGCTCTCCGGGCTGTAGCGTACCCAGGCAGAAGAGAAGGTGTTCTTCAAATTTACATTCCAAGTCGCTGCGACACTGGAGGAGGCCGAGGACGGACATGTCGGAGGGGGAGTGGGACGGGGAGTTCAAATGGGTGGTGACCGGGAGGTTAGGTTAGCTGTTATGGGCCAGGTGAAGATGCTCAGTGAAATGGTCATCTA